ACCAGGAGTACTGCAGAATACATATAAAAGAGAAAATACTAGCAAAGAGAGAAGAGCATGGATTGTAGATCTCAACACATAATTCCAGATGTCAAGAGAAACTCAGGTACGTTAAAGCTCATTCAAGTAGGGAAAAAAATATATTCTAGATTCTGTTGTGAAACTCGTATTCAGCCAGAAATTGTGGGAGGATGTGAGCAACCTAGAGATGTTCAAGAGTAATAGGAAACCAGCACAAAACAAAAGATGGTCTGAGAGATAAAGAAGAAAAGAAGACATCAGGGAGATGAAGAAAAGAAGATATCAGGGAGATGTCATTTTATCCAAAGAGTTGAATTTCAAAATCCATAGCAAAAATGCTTGCCATAAAATAGTAAAATCTTTTTTTGAATTCATGGAAGTTTGGTAATTTGTCAGTCACTTCTGCTGATAATAAGACTCAATTAATAAAATTAAGTGCAAAGATGGAAGAGGAAATAAGGCAATTTTTTAGTTTTGTTTTAAAAACACTACTAAGTTATTTCTGATCTTTTTAGAATGTTTGTTCATTACGTCATTGTATACACATCTGTTCTCCACAAATTTGGGCTAGGCCTTTCAAAACAAGTTCCCCTAGGTTCTGGAAGCTGGCCTACACAACTCATCTCTTCCCTTCTATTTCACCCTACTGATATCAGCAAGGTTTTAGGCCACAAATCAAAGGATGGGCCGCTTTGCCTGTTAAGTGAACAAGTGTCTTGTTTAACAAAGATTTTCATCTCATTTCCTGAGAAGACCGAGCAGGTTAATTGCACTAGTGTGAACACCAGGATTCCTCTCTGAGTTCAGCTCTGATGTTTACTGATTATCTTTTCCATCTGTTGAGATGGTCAATAATACTTATTTCAATATGCATAAGTATTATTCATAACTGTGCTTTCAAGAGCACTCAATCTCTTGAGCCAAACAGGATTCTCCTAGTGCACTACCATACTTATCACTACCATACTTACTAAATGACATTAAAGAGGAATATTACTAAGTCTAGGACTACATTTGAAGAGGTGAGGAGGGGACTGCCAGAGTCAGTGGTTGGGCAACCCTGCGTGGCATTGCCACAAACTCTGCTTTGTAACAGTAACTTCTTTAAATACCTTCCCCTGGACATAGAGCACTGAAATGCAGCAGGCAAGAGGAGAAAGAAAAAGGAAATATCTCCAGTGACAGCACATGTACTTCATCACCCCAAGAAGGTGGCCACCACTTACGCTTTCAGTATCTTCCAAATACTACTATGGCTAGCTGTCACATGAGGTTTGAACAAACAACTGGATTTTAGAGGCTAGAATGAGCAGAACCAGCATACAACTGACGAGGCCATGAGAAGATAATAAGATCTGTAGACACAACAGAGCAATCAGACAATTTTCGGGTGGCTAACTAGCAGAAAAATAGCAGAAAGGAGCTCAGTGGACTATGAATTTCAGAAGAAGAGACACAACTACTAGTATCAGACTTGGACATCTTTATAAGGTAGCAAAAATGGACTTTTACTAGACCAGAGGATTTTCTTCAGTATTTGCTCACAAGAGATTGACAGCAATGTTGGGTTATATATTCACACACCCTGGATGCAACTTATCCTTCATATTGTGTTGTTTCAAATTATGACATACAGCTCTAAATACATCAGTGAACATCACATACATGGCTAGTAAAACAAACCTGAAGTAGTCCATCTGATAAGTCAGTTTGTACATCAGCACAACAGTGGAAGGCAGCTGAAGCATAAGGGTTTCTGAGCAAGTGAAAGCAGCCTAGAATTAACGTCCTGGGCTACACCACATGGGTGAAGACAGATGCAGCATCACACATCTGTGCTGTCTCCTCTTTGGGGATTTTTTTGAGAACCTAAGAGTAATACAAGTTCTAAGAAAATAATGAGCACACTCCATACCCAGTTCAAAAATTACCCTTTCCTCTGGCCCTCTCAGCTGCACAGTACAAAGAATATCTGAGCTCAGATCTGCTTTTTCATCCAGAACAAGAGAAATAGGAACAAGAAGCAGAAATAAAAGACTGTAGAAAACAGCAGGCAGGAAATTCCTTCATGGCTTTGTACTGGTAAGATAAAATAGCCTAGCAGAGCGCCTTTTTTTTTTTTCCCCTAACTTTGTCTCTTTCTTCTGAGACCAGCAGTTAATGTTCGATAGGGACTGAAGAACACTATTAGATATGGACTCACATTGCAAAGCCTGCAGGCCACACATTACACTATAAAATGGTGAAACTGATCAATACAGTAAAATGCAGGATTTAGTCCTTGTCCACTCTTATAAAAAGTGGCTTCTGCTCTGCGCTGTCTTGGGGCATAAGCATGGTGTTGAGGCATTTGAACAGTGCGGCGTGCCTGGTAGTAAGGGACCTGCTAGTAAGGTGTGAATAGGCCAACTCCTAAGTGTTGGGCATGGAGGATCTTGAGCCAGGACCATATTATGTGTCTTGCTACTGGCATCTAGAGGGAAAGGTGGAGTGCGCGGAGTGCTTGTCAGTTTTCCTTGGCTGCAGAGTTCTTGCTACTTTTCTGTGGCTTTTGTGGAGGTGTTTGAGGTAGGTGGCACTTCTCACTACTAAAGCTGTAGGTCTGGAGGCTCTATGTTTGTGTAGGCATGAGGTGGCAAGATTCCTGTTCCCAGAGAAATGGGTGGGTCAGAAGGTGACCATGTGCCCTGAGTGCGAGGGTGTCTTTTGAGCTGCTTGTCACTCCTGGTATATAATAAGCTTGGTGTAAATGTTGGAAGAAATCAAACCAAGCACGTGTTGAGGGGCTGCCCCAGGCTGGTGGAGCCAGACTGTTGTGTCCAGAGGTCTTGCCTGTGATCCATGCCTGATGGGGGATTCGTTTGAGCATACTGGTATGCCTGGTGGAAAGGTGTGAATAAACTAGTTGTAATTGTTGGGCATGGAAGTTGTCGCATCAGAAAAGCGATGTGCTGTTTTGGGGGTGCTTTAGCCATATGCGGCCAAGCTTGGAGTGCTCAGAGGTCTTCCCTGTGATCCATGGCAGATGGGGGAGCTGTTTGATCAGGATGGCCTGCCTAGTAGAAAGGTGGGAGTACGTATCTTCTCAGTGTGGGAAGGGGCGAAAAGTAAATATATATAAATATACCCCCAATATATTTATACCCCAGTAATATATACCCCAGTAAATATACCCCAGCCAGGCCCACAGGCCTGGGTCAGTGCTGCAACACATGCCTGGCTTATCCCACTTCTCTAATTACTAACAGTCCACTCACCTCAAAACCTGCTTCATTTTACAAGGTGCAAGGCCCAGGTATTAGCTCCATCTCCAGTGACTCCTAATGTGACTACAGGGTCACTCCTTCCATGGCTTCCAGGCCCAGGGGGTCCAGGTCCGGGGTAAGGCGCAGGGTTATGGTCTGGGGTCCAGTCTGGGGTGGTAAGGTCCAGTGCCAGGTCCAAGGAGTGTCCTGGGTCAATGTCTGGGGTCCATATTCAAGGTTAATGTCTGGGAAAGGTTCAGGGTGAGGTCCAGGGACAAGCCCACGGTAAGCTCCAGCGTCAGTATCTGGCGAGTCAAGGTCTGGGGTAAGGTCTAGGGTCAGGGTTTGGTGTAAATCTGGGGTAGGGTCCTGGATCAAAGTCCAGGGGGTCCAGGTCCAGGATAAAGTCCTGAGTAAGGGCTGGTGTCAAGGTGCCTGGTCAGGTCCTGGATAAGTTTCCAGGTCAATGTCTGGCCTCAGGTCCAGGGTTAAGATCCAGGGTCAAGGTCCAGAATAGGATCCAGTATGTTCCTGGGGTCAAGTTTCAGGGTCAGGTCTGTGTTCAAGATCCAAGGTCAAGGTTTGGAGTCAGGTCCAGGGTTAAGGTCTGGGCAGTCAAGGTCCAGGATAAGGTCTGGGGTCCATGTCAGGGGTCAAAGTCCTGGATAAGGTCTGGGGTGAAGTTCAGGGCAAGCACTTTAGCTGGTAGTTTTGCTACTGACAGCTTCCTTTACCTAGCTCAGATTTTGTCAGATGGATAAACAAAGCTTTATTAGGTGACTTAGTATTACGCCCTTTCACATCTGCACCACAAGCAAGCAGAACAACTGTTACTGGTGAAGCCTAAAAATCAACAGCCACCAAAAGAATCCGGCAGCATGTACAAATATGAAGACATTTCCCAAAATAAACTGTCAAAAACAGGATTTGGATCAGACTTTATCCTAGGACTACTGTCCTAGCTTTACAGATGACTGCAGGTTGCCTTCTACAGTCTGTCCAGAAGAGGCAGCCTGCTGACAGTATTCAAAAGGCTCAGAGAACTCAGTCATTTCACTAAATACATGCATATGTATATATATATATAAATGAAATGTTCCTTGTGACTCTAAAGCAATTGCAGTGACACAAGGGGATGGAAACGGAAGGGAGGAGTAAATGAGAGCACTAATCGTCAATCGAAGATCTACACAGCATCTTAACTTTACAAAATCGTATTATAATCTGCCATGTTTTAGGAACCGCCCCCTCCTCCCCAGGCTGCAGTGGACCGCCA